TTTCATCATGCCAGTGATTGTAAAAAAGTGGAAATTACAAGCTAGGAAAATGATAATAATGTTACAGACCAGAAAGGTTGTTTCACTTATTGGTGATGGTAGATGTGACAATCTTGGTCATAACGCAAAATACTGTACATATACATTTATGGAAACTTAATCTGGATGTGTAGTTGACACAGTTGTAATATCAGTGACAGAAATGCGGTATTCTAACTGCATGGAAAAATCAGGATTCATTTAGTTATTAAAAACATTTAAAAAAGTGTAAATTAAAGTTGATTTCGTTACTACTTATGATCTTGCCTATATTCAAAAATTTTTGAAAGTAGATCCAAAGTTTAACGATATACATCATCAATATGATATCAATATGATCCGTGGCATGATGCTAAATGAGTTGTAAAAAAAAATGCACGAATGGATTACATCAATAATAAATCATTTTTGGTAGAGTATTGAAACATCTAATAAAAACCCGCGAATAATGTACGAAAAACTTTCTTCCATTTTATACCATATACGAAATGTACATGAATGGGCGGCTGTTTATTTTTTCATATATGCAAAAATGAACCTATTCTATAAAAGATGAACATTCAAAAAACTGGTTGGAATTTTGGCTGTACAAAGATTCAGAGTGTCAGCTATTTTTACGCTCTTCAGTTTTTAGTGTCTAAATTGAAATCAAAAACTTTTATGGATATTTTTAAACATTTAACCGATTTTAACAATTTGAACAACTAATGTTGAAGTTTTTAATAGCCTTTTGCTAAAATATGTACCAAAACAATACCGCTTTAAGTATAATCACATGGTAATAAACATTGGGTGCATATAATGGGTGCATATAATGGGTGCGTATTTAAAATCTCTTGATCATAATTTTAGTTTAGAACGGAAACACAAATTGGATAGATTCGAAAAAATTAAATAATAAATAGCACACCGTAAACCTACCTAGAAGTTAAGTGGAAGAAGAACTAAAGGAAAACATCATTATGACTATCTGTTAATCATGTCAGGGTTAGGATTAGGGGTTAACCCTAACCCTAACCCTACCCTATTATCCTTAAAGAGTTTTTTAATGATGCACTGGTTAAAAGATGTAAATTATATAGTTTCGGTCTTTGAAAAAAAAACAGTAGATTCACTCCTTCATTTGTAGTTTTAAACCCAGAAATTCTTAAATGTTACACAACTTATAAAAACAATATTCGATCACAGATTTCAACAAAAAGATGACAATATATTTGTTTTATTGTCTGGAAAATGAGTGTTCAATTCATGTGGAAAAAAGCTATTTATATATTTATATTTATAGCTATTTCTAAATCTGAAACGCGTAACATTTGTTCTAGTCTCTGTGCACTCTGGTGAAACAGCTAAAGTATTTTTTATTAATCAGGATATTCGAACTCATACGAAATTCTGAACTTATGAGCAGATATTCTAGAGCTATCAGAAAGTTGCTGGCCTTATAGAACAATCTGATGAAACAGCTGAAATGTTTTTACTTTACTCAGGATAGTCGAGCTAATCTACAAAAGCCAATTGTACTTTACAGTCTTGTTTTAATAGTAAAAAATTTACAATTATTTCGTTTATATGGGGTGTTGCTCCAAGGTAAAAGTACGTAATGTACTAAAAATGTTTTTCCAGTATCTCTGACAATAGGTTAAATTATAACGAAATTACAGTTCATTAAAGTTAATACTACGTCTCGTAAGATGTTTGACAAAATTTCGAAGAACTAGAAATATTCCAGAATGAAGAAATAAGGGAGAGGGGAAGGGAAAATAGGAAAGAAAGGGCACAGTATATATATATATATATATATATATATATATATATATATATATATATATATATATATATATATATATATATATATATATATAAATATATATATATATACATATATATATATATATATATATATATATATATATATATATATATATATATATATATATATATGTATATATATATATATATATATATATATATATATATATATATATATATATATATATATATATATATATATATATATATATATATACTGAGATATTTATATTGAGACAGTTTTTGAAAATATACTTGCGTATAATGCCCTGTTTTTTTGACATTTTGGTTTTTAATTAAATTAAGAGAGATTGTAAGATTTGACAGAAATACGATATCTGAAACCTTGTCGCCTGGAAAAAGCATTTATGCATAGTCATTGTTTAGAAGCACTGTTGCCGAATTTGAAGTAAAAGCTTACGTGTTTATTATATATATTTAATGTTTTTCTCAATAAATAAAAAATGTTTGTATAATATTTTGAGCATAACATTATTCCTTAAAGTTTCTTAAAGGTTTTATTTAAATTAAATTAAAAAAAAAAGTTTATTTTAGTAATGCTTTAGGATTTGTTTTGCTGGACAAGATGATATTTTAATTAATAAGTGATTAACGTAATCAACTAAAAATTTGCAATATTTTTAAAAGAATTTTGGTTTATACAAAGATTGCGAGTTATTACAACTAAATGGAACCCATATCAAAGATATATTCCAGGAATTTGCGGGAAAAGCTTTTCTAAATCGAGCTGCGCTAATGAATGCGATTGAGGACTACAAAGTAAGTCATGATTTGTCAATGAAAAAAAATTGTATATTGCAGTAAGCATATTTTAGTTCCTCAGAAATTTTAAACTTTCATTAAAGTTTTAAAAAAACTTTCCTCAAGACTAAATTCAATTTGGATGCCATTCATTGATAAAAACGCTATACTGAAAAGGTTCTTCACTTATATCGATAAAGAATCAAAAAAGACAGCAAAGGAACAAAAAGGTAACGATAATACGAACACGAAACCTGATGAATATATAGCACTTAAATAACTCAAAGAAGATCACAATCTTATTATTAAAAAAACGCCCAAAGACGGAAGTATCTGTCTTATAAGAAGAGAATGGGGAAAAACATTCTAAAAATGCTAGAAGATAAGGACATGTGCAAGGAGTTGGACAACAACCTAATACAAAGACTCGTGTACAAGATCACTGACATCTTAAAAAATCTTTACCTTTGAAAAAATTAATTTCTGAAAAATTTGCGGAGTTAATGATCCCAACAACGGAGGCTAGTACCCTTCTTTTTTATGGACTACCCCAATCCAAAAAGAGGGCGTATCACTGAGATGCGTATAGAAGACGTATCACTGAGATAACTGTTTCTAAATGCAATGATCCCACAAATAATCTTTTATAATTTGTAGTAAAGTACCTGCTACCCATAACTGAATCTCTACCATCACATTATAGATGCAACAGAAGTACTGAAGATTCTATCCAGCTACCCGCTACCAGAAAAGAACTACATTAATAACAATGCAGCCTGTGATGATTGGGTTGTATCTAATGCAAGACCAATGTTTATATAGAAAAGTTAATTCAAAAGTTTTTACTCTAACATTTTTGCCTTTTAACTTCTTATGTAACAGACTGTCAAGAACTTTTTTCTACTAATCCATTTCCAGGTGTTGTTGATCTAGTTTCTGTAATTGTTTATGCCCCAACTTTAATTTATTCATTGACGTCAAGCCAGTCATCAGGTTCAGCTCATAGTAAAATGCCTATTTTGCCTTTATCTGAACCTGAAAATCATCTATCCCGCGTTTCTTAAACATATTCTAAACAGCAGTAAATTTGGCAATACATTAGAATCACAACACATTAAAAAGATCTTGTAGTTTTACTTCAGGAAACAGTAATGAAGTAATTTTTTACTTTAACAACCGGGGAAACAATGAGTCTCAGTATAAAATTATATCTTTTTAATTGATTTTTTTTCAAATAAGAAAGATAAATTTGTAGTAAAATAAATAATAACTTTCTTGGATTTTGATATCAAAATAATGACATAAAAATAATTCTAGCACATTTATGGCAAGCATTCATAAATTTAAACTCAAATTAATTATAAATGCATAGATCAAAGTTGCATACAGGTAGGATCAAGGGAGCACACTAGTAGGCACCCTTGATCACAACTGAGTGCCTTTAGTTATTATAGTTTAAACCTATTTAAGATACTCTGTTAAAAAAATGATTGTTAAACTATAGCTAGTTTTAAAGTTTGCTATCATGCATTGTTACTGTAGAAATCGAAACAAAAGCATAAATTTAGTAAATTTACTTTTTTTTTTTTTTTTTTTTTGTTTATATGTTATTCACCTCTTCAAGACCGACAAGGCCACTACAGATGAGGAGGCTACTTAATAATGGTTATAACCCTCTCTCAACTCAAAAAAACAAACCTTGACAAACAAGGCCGTTGCGCGGAGAAACAAGTTGAACGCGGTACTACCAGGGACATGGTGGGGATCGAACCCAGAACCTCTTGCTTATGAAGCGAGCGTTTTACCACTACATTACACTGACTTTATAGATTTTTAGTATCATGAGTCCATATTCTCCCCTATATTTTATAAAAATTTTTTGATTAACGTTCCGTTAAGTTAGCAATGGGTGAGAACACAGTTTGTTGTACCTCTATAGAAATTCTTCTATAGCTAACTTCTGTCACTTGATTTGGAGATTTTCAAACTTTCCCCATTTGGAGACTGACTAAAGAATAATTGAACTTTGCTTTTTTTGTTTTGAACTTTATTGAGTCTAGAAAATTGAGAATTGATTATAAAATATAAATATTAAAAATCTTTATGTTTTCAACAAAATAAATATAAATTTTTAAATTTAATAAAGCAAATAAACAATAACATTCAAGAACTAATAAAATCTCAAAATAATCACTAAATTTCGTTATGTTTCGTATAATATTCAAAATCTATTTATAAACTTTTAAATACTTTTTAATGAGAAAAAACGCTCTACTTTATCAATAGCATTATTTTTGTAGTTAAGATAAATATTAGCAAAGTACAATGGTTAATAAACATTTGAATCAATATTATGATTTGTAAAATTTTTTTCAATAAATAAAAAAAGTTTTATTAAATTAAACATTTGTTAGATTTAAATATAAAAGTAAAAATATTTAAGATAAAAGTGTTTATACTAATTTGGTGTTAAAGGCATTATTTTCATTAAATTAATAAAATTGAATATTTAAAATCAAAATCATAATGGATTACCTGAAAAATGTACTTGAAGCTAGGAAGGAATTACAAAAAGAACAGAGACAAAAATTTGATTTTACAGAATATCTTTTTACTGAAATGACTGGCAGCTCTGTTGCAGAAAACTTTAAAGACGATTATGAAATGATTAATGTGCTTGCAAGTAGGTATACTTCTTTTTAATAAAAAAAGTAAAAAAAAAAAGATTATTCCTAATACAATTCTTTTTGAATCAAAATATAAAAAAAAAAAAAAATGTTTTGAAAATCATTTCAATAACTAATTTTGTATTTATATAAACAAGTATAAGGGGTAATAAGCAACACAGAGAAGGAGGGAGGGGGAAGGAGTACGTAAATCAGATTGGGCTGAATGAATGTAATACTCTCATAAAAGTAACAATAAAGCCTCTGATTTTAATATTTACGTTTAATTTTTATTGCTTTACTTTTTACATTACGTGTACAAATAGTGGTATGCGTTTACTTATGTTTTACTTTTCTAGCATTAATACATATTTGGGAAAACTTAACCTAACATAACAAGTCATATACATTAAAAAAAAAGCATCAAGCAGTAAAATCGTAAAGCACTTTGACATTATTTTTATTAGCGTTGGATAACTTCGTGGTATTTGATATCAAAAAATATAAAATAATTGTGTAGTTTAAAGAAAAAGTTTTTATTTTTAAACTAATAACAATGCAAAGATTTTAAAAGTAGATCAACTATTATTCTAAAACAAATTTTTTACTAAGAGTATAAAAAAAGTGGGCAATTTTTTTAATTACCATCAAATTAACTACACGATGTTAAAATTGAGAATTACAATACCACGAGAGGTTTACTTAAAGTAACGATACCAGATGAGAAATTTAAATAAGGATGTGATATCCCACAATTAATTAAACTTAAATAAATGTAATGACTGTTACGAAATCAATTCCATTTGAACAATCATTTCTCATACTCGTTTAAAATAATCATTAACAATTACATCACAAGCAATTTCCTTTAAAAATTTATATATAAAACTCATTTTAATGATAGTTACAAAACTAATTACTATTGAACAATTATTTTTAATACTTGTTTAGAATAATTGTTTACGATTGCATATTAAGCATGTCCACTTTGGAGAAATTTGAAAAATGTTTTGAAAAATTCTCTTTATTAATTGGAAAACTATTCCCTTGAAGAATAATTCCGTACAGAAATTGTTTTCCTAAATGAAATAAATATTCGTTAGAGTTGGAATAACGAAATAAGAAACTACAAACAGCTGGGAAGGATGCAGGTCATTGTTCTAGGGAGGTAGTCCGACCAAAAAAAAACTAAAAAAATAAGATTTTTTTTTTTTTTTAAATAAAACAACTGTTTCATTTGATCATTCAGAATGATTTTAGGTAGGTTATAAGAGTTTGCTAATAAATATATTGAATTGTTAAACAAATACTTTTTTTTGTTGAGAAAAATAAAAAAACGTTGAATTACAAGTTTTTGTATTTTTCTTTTTTTTTTAACTTTATAAATAATATTTTGAAGTTTGACATTTCCTAGGTAGGGGGAGGGCAGTAAACAGCTTTCCGCTCCCTTTCCTTTTTGTCATCCCTTACACACTTTTTAAAATAATTTAAATATTTGTAACAATTTAATTTTTCTTTCTATTTAATCATGTTAAAAAAAAAGAAAAATTGAAAAATTTTTCTGATCCTTTATACTGTACAAAAAATATCAACATAAGCAATAACTTTTGATACTAGTATCGCGTAATCTCGATATTGATACTGTAAGGTATCGCACCGAGACAAAACGATCCCAACATAATCAATACTTTTGATACCAGTATCATGTAATCTTGATATCGATACTGTAAAGTAATGCATCGAGACAAATCGATAACATCGAGGCAAAAAAAAATGTAATAATTTAGTTAATAACATAAACTCTAAATTGAGAATGAAAAGTTTATCGAGGAATTGTTTTTCTTTGGTCAGTCTTTTTATTTGAAAATGTTAAACCTTATTCTGTCTAATAATCACGGTTATTATTATTGATATTTTATTGTTTTGAAAGTATTATAGCTAGTAAAACCTTTTCGAAATTTTCATTCTATTAAAAATTTTATCTACTATTATGAAAAGAAACATGTGTTTTTTTAATAATTTAAAAAATAAACATTAATTACTTTCAGTGAATTTATTTAACTATAATTTTTGCTATAATTAAGGTTCTACAAATTTAACTTACATAATTGGTAACATTTAAGTTTGTCTGGCTTGGAGTTAAAATTGTAAAATATGTCAGGGTAATAAAGAAATATTTTCTAAAACTTAACCAATTAACATGTATAAAATTCTAACACTAAACTACAACAATGTAAAGTGCCTGGCAATGGATAATGTTTCTTTTAAAACAATTTTGAATTAAAATTTAAAAAAATTTTCTTTATTAATTGCCAAAGCAATGATAACTGAAAAATAATAATTGTCCATTGTTTTTACTTGTGTCAGTAGTGTGCGCTGAAAAATGATTAGCTTCTAAACATTCGCAGGTGGCAACGGTTTCTTAACCTATAACGGTACAACAAAATAAGATGAATTTTTGAAGTTTTTGAAAAATGTTTTTAGTCAAAATAGAAATTTTGATGGAGTTGAAAACAATTATAACTTATAATTGTTTCTAACTCTAAGTCATTAACATTTATTGCATTAAATTACAAAGGAAAAAAAATAAATTACATTGAACTATAATGAAAGAAATTTTTTCAAAGAATGTTGATAAAAGCTTAAAAAAGCAAGTTCTACTATACTTTCAAAGTTTGAGTGAGAAATAAAAATAGAACTGCAAACCTGTTTAAATAAAAAATTTCTTATAAGGCAGTTTAGTGCAAACTTCGCAGAAAAGTATTCAATTTTTATCGGACCTAAAAAATTTGTAAAAAGGTCGCGTAAAAGTTTTGTCACGAAAATGAATTTCTGTTAGGGTTAGAATTAGGGTTATGGTCAAGGTACCGTCTAACCTAACCCTGACCCTAAACCTGACTTTCTTGACATCATTGCAGGCTCTATAGTTTCTATCGTATATTTTCAGACTTTTCAGATTTGGAATATCTGGGGCCATATTGTTGTAATGATCTTAAGCCTAACAAATTTTTATTTAAAAATTTCATTTTAGATTTTCTCATGGGTTTAACTTCGAGCTATATTTTAAGTTTAGAGCTATATTGTTGTAGTTTAGAATTAGGGTTATGGTCAAGGTACCGTCTAACCTAACCCTGACCCTAAACCTGACTTTCTTGACATCATTGCAGGCTCTATAGTTTCTATGGTATATTTTCAGATTTTTCAGATTTGGAATATCTGGGGCCATATTGTTGTAATGATCTTAAGCCTAACAAATTTTTATTTAAAAATTTCATTTTAGATTTTCTCATGGGTTTAACTTCGAGCTATATTTTAATTAAGCTGGATAATGTAATATCAATATTATAATATTATTTAACCTCCCTTCATATTGAGTCTTTTCTATGTAAAAAAAAAAAGTAAAAAAAAGTATTATATGTATATATATATATATATATATATATATAAATATATATATATATATATATATATATATATATATATATATATATATATATATATATATATATATATATATATATATATATATATATATATATATTTATATATATATATATATCATTTTTTTTTGTTTATATTTACTTTTAACTAGGTAATTCTTGGAGTAGTTCGGTAATTAAGAGATTAAAAGAAAAAGAATTTGATCTGCTATATTTTGATTCATTCAGAAATCCCATTAGCTACAATTTAACCAATGAAGAAAGCTTAAAACAACATTTACAAAATTTTACAATAAACGAAAATTTGAGTTATAAACAAATAAAAAATAATAGTGACCTTAGCTTGTTTGCTGCATTTAATCTTCATTCTTTAGCAACAACAAAAAAATTAGCAAATAATATATCAGAGCATCAATGCAACATACTAGGTCTTCAGCAACTTGAGGAATTTAGATATAAACCTCTGCTTCATCAACTAGCTTATAAAACAAGTCTAAAGCATTTAAAAAAGCTTGTAATCGTACTTAACCAAATAGGTAATTTAACAATTAAGCTTGGAGAATTAAGCGGAAAATTGACACATTATAACGAAGCTGCAGTAATTTATCAATATATAACTACAATATTAGAAGATAAACTAAACGAGAAACTGATAAGTACCGAGGATAAACTTGAGTTTAAAAATAAAAACAAAATAGATCCGGCTTCAAGACTTTCTCAAATACAAGAGTTTATATTTTCGTTAATTGGAGGAGATAAAGTAAAAATGCCAGTTGTTCAAGATGAAGCAGAAATAAATAAAAATTTATTATTAGTGTTGAGAGACAAAGTTGAAACTGAAATGCGTAATATAGATTGTTTTGAAAAACTGTCAAGAAAAGAAGAAAAAAATAAAATACTTTATGTAAATACTGCAAAAAGGTTATTTAAAGTAATTGCTGAAGAAATGAAAACACTTTTAGCAAAGTTGCATAGAGATAGTGAACAACAAATGTTCACTCGCGCACCTTGTAAATATGCAGTAATGGGTCTTGGTTCAATGGCTCTTGAGCAAATGACGCCGTATTCAGACTTAGAATTTGCCATTCTTACAGAAAATGAAGATTACAAAAAAGATTTAGATCCTATGATAAGAAATTATTTTAAAAATTTAAGCTACTTAGTTAGTTTTAAGATAATCAATATTGGTGAAAGCATTATTCCTACTAGTAAATATGGTTTAGATATGAGCCACTTAGTTCACGTAGCAGTTAACTCAGACCTTGGAGGCAAAGTTCCAACAGGAAGATTAGGAGCTGACAAACCATATGATCTTATAAAAACAATCAAATGGATGATTCATTATATGCGTGATAAAGATGACAAAGCAAGTCACATTGATAAAAACTTACCGCATATTTTAGAGAATGTTTGTTATGTGTATGGTCACAAAGAACTTGTTGAAAAATACCAACATAAAGTGAAAACATTTTTGAAAAAAAACAATACAAATGATCCAAAAAACAGATTGAACTGTGAAATCAGAGCAATTAAACTGTTAGAAATAGGTGCAGTTGAAATTGACTATCTTCAAAAGACTTCTGGTCAAGAGTTGAAAACGATTTTGTTCAAAGGAGACCTTGATAAGTTAGAACCTAATTTATTTGACTCTGAAGGAAAATTTTTTAATGTAAAACAGGAAATATACAGATTAACGGATCGTATGGTGTACAATTTTTGTCTCTATTATGGTGTTGTTGGGGGAAATACTTGGGATGCAATAGATGCACTTGCAGGTCAAGGATATATAAATAAAGAAGCAGCAATCAATATAAAAAGTGCATTAACATTTTCTAATACGTTGAGATTAAAAACATATGCACATTATAAAGCCCAAAAGGAAGATATGGGCGTGTTTTCAGGTTCTATTAGTTATGATATTAAAGATCAAGCCATAAACATATTTTGTTTATCTGAAGAGAACATTGAAGAAAATGGTGGATTATTTCAGTATTATTATACAGCTTTACCATTGTATGAAAAAATAAAAAAGTTTTGCAACCTTCATAAACGCATAAATGATTTCAAGAACAGTAAATACTTTAATGATACCAGCTTTTATGAAAATGATTTTGCAAATAAAGGTTTTATAAACTATCGATTAGCAAGATACAAGGAAGCTCAAATCTGTTTAGAAAACTCATTAAACAATTTAGAAAATAAAGATAAATTGTACCAAATACAAAATATTTTAGGAGACATATATAGAAATTTTGGCGATAACGATCAGGCTATTAAACAATATCAAAATTGTTTAAACTTATGTAAACAAATTTCAAATGTTGCAGACTCCGATATTATCATTTCTTTAAATAAACTAGGTTTAAGCTATGCGTCAAAAGGACAATACGATCAGGCAATCAGTTATTTTAAAAAAGGGGTAAATAGTAAAGAGTTTATGTATAAAAATTTACTTCCTCAGATTGACGCAGATTCTTTGAATAATTTAGGAACAGCATTTTACAGTAAAGGTGAATATGATAAAGCAATTGACTACTTAAAGGAAAGTCTTAATATAGAAAAAAATATTTATAAAGATTTACCACAATTATCTGTGGCATACATTCTAAATAATCTAGGGTTAGTTTATGATTCCAAAGGAGTTTTTAATCAAGCAGTATCATACTATCAGAACAGTCTAAACATGAAAAAATTAATATTCAAAAATCAACCACATTTGTCCATTTGTACTTCTTTAAATAACCTTGGGTTAGTTTATGTAGCTTTGGGAAAATACAGTAAAGCTATTAAATATTATGAAAATTGTCTAAAGTTGTTAAAGTATATCTTTAAAAATAATGAACTTCATCCAGCTATTGCTGGTTTATTAAATAATCTTGGGTCAGCCTATCAGTTTTTGGGAATATATGATCAAGCAATTCAATACTATGACGATAGTTTAATAATGAGTAAAACAATCTATAAGGATCAAACTCACCCGTCAATTGCTAAAACCATTAATAGCATTGGGACATGTTATCATTCTCAAGGTCTGTTTGATAAAGCATTAATATGCTATAGACAAAGCCTTTTAATGAATAAAATTATCTTTCACGATGAACCTCACCCGTCGGTTTCAAATATTTTAAATAATATAGGATCAGCATTTCATGCTGTGGGACAATATGATCGGGCAATTAAATACTACGAGGATAGCTTAAAGATAAATAAATTAATTTATGCAGATAAACCTCATTTTTCTGTAGCTTCTTTATACAATAATCTTGGGTTAGCATACTATGATAAAGGTCAATATGATAAAGCAATAAATTTTTATAATAACAGCCTTAATATAAAAAAATTAATCTATAAAGACAATCACCCAAGTTTTGCTGAATCTTTAAATAATCTGGGTATAGCTTACGATGCTAAAGGACAACACGATGAAGCAAAACGTTGCTATGAAAAAGGTTTATCGATTACAAAAATCATTTTTCAAAGTGAGCCTCATTCAAGTAATGCTGCTCTATTCACTAATCTTGGTTTGAATTACTTTTTTAAAGGTTTATATGATCAAGCCATTATGTACTATAACGACAGCTTAAATTTAAGCAAACGTATTCACCGAGATCAACCTCATCCAGATATTGTATATTCTTTAAACAATCTAGGATTAGTTAATACAATTAAAGGAAATTATGCTCATGCACTTAGTTACTATAATCAAGGTCTTAATATGACTGAATTGATTTATCAAGATCACTTACACCCAGAAGTTGCTGCATTTTTGAACAATCTTGGCTCAATTTACCACGTTAATGGACAATATAATGAAGCGATTCATTTCTATGAGGAGAGCATAAAAGTAAAAGAGCTTATATACCATAATGAAAATCATCCTTCTATTGCTGATTCTCTAAATAACATAGGTTTATCATATATTTCCAAAGGACTATATGAGCAGGCTCTTGATTACTTTGAGAAGAGCCTTAAAATGAAAAAAGACTTGTACAGAGAAGAACAACATCCATCTATTGCAACATCTTTGAACAATTTAGGGTTAGTTTACGACTATATGGCAAAGTATGATCAGGCAATTAAATACTATGAAGAAAGCTTAAAGATTAGCAATCTAATCTATCAAAAAGAACCTCATTCGTTAATTGCTTCTTCTTTGAATAGTTTAGGATTATTGTATAATTCTGTAGGACAATATGATCAAGCAATTAATCACCTTCAAGAAAGCCTTAAAATAACAAAATATCTTCACGATGATGAAAATCATGCAGACATTGCTCCAATATTGAACAATCTTGGATTAGTTCATAACTCCATGGGACTTTACAAACAGGCCATTGATTATTTTAAGGGCAGTATAGCTATAAAAAAACTTATCTTCAGTAATGAACACCATCCTTCTATTGCTGATTCGCTAAATAATCTAGGCTTAGCTTACCATGCTGTAGGAAACCATAATCAGGCAATTGAGTACTTTGAAAACAGTCTAAAGATATTTGAAATGATATATGGTAGTAAACAACACCCATCAATTGCAACTTGTTTAAATAATCTAGGATCAGTTTATGATTCTAAAAAAAATTACGATTGTGCAAGTCACTACTATAAAGAGAGCTTAAAAATAAGAAATATTATTTATAAAGACCCCCATCCAGACGTAGCTGAAACTTTAAATAATCTTGGGGTATCTTATTTTTCTAAAGGAGAATACGAAAATGCAGTTGTTTATCATGAAAACTGCTTAAACTTAAAAAGACTTATATACAAAAACCTATCTCATCCTTCTGTTGCAATTTCTTTAAATAATTTAGGGTCAGTATACAGTACTATGGGACAACACGACCGGGTAATTACTTATTTTGATGAAAATCTAACTTTAAACAAAACCATCTATAAAAATGAAATTCATCCGTCGATTGCTGCTTCCTTAAACAATCTTGGATTATCCTATGCTGATATGGAGCAATATGATAAAGCTATCAGCTATTATGTTGAGAGTGTAAAAATAGCAAAACTTATCTATCAAGATGAACCGCAATCTGATTTGGCTGATTATTTAAATAATATCGGTTCAGCTTATTATGCGAAAAAACAATATAACAAAGCCATTATTTTTTATAGAGATAGCTTAAATATGAAAAAGAAAATCTACAAAGATGAGGCTCATCAGTCCGTAGTTGTTACTTTAAATAATCTTGGGTTTGTTTATCATGATGAAAAGCAATATAATATGGCAATAAACTGCTTTGAGGAAAGCTTAAAAATGAGCAAACTTATGAACCAAGATAAACCAAATAAAGATTTAGCTGATTGTTTGAATAATCTAGGATCCATTTATGCTACTATAAAACAATATGATCAAGCAATTAAATATCTACGGTTAAGCTTAGAGATGAAAAAATCTCTTTACCATGATGATCCTAGCCAAAATAATTCTGATTCTTTTTACAACATTGGATCAGCTTATCGTGCTGCAGGGCAATATGATCAAGCAATTATATACTATAGCCAAGCTTTGCAAACAGCTTCAGTTTTTCATGATAATTCTTTCACGCTTTTAATTAAGGATGTTTTATTTGAAACAGTTTTTTTATTTTCAGAAAAATACTGTTTAAATCCACATAACATAGCTTTAAAAATATTTAAACTTGCTTCGCAAAAAGTTAATTTTGCAGATCTTTACCATTTTCTTACTCAATCTCATAATAATATCAATATAAACGAACAGAGTAAACACCATAATAACGACCTAAGTGAACACAATAAACACAATATAAAAGATGCAAGCGAAAACAGTAAATACTTAAATAAAAATGCAAGTAGAAAGGGTAAACAAAATATTAAAAAGGCAAATGAACATAGTAAATACAATAACAACGATCCATACAAACACAGTAAAGAAGAAAATAACAATGAAAGTGAATAAAAAATATTAGAAATGATAGACGAGTATAAATTAGCACTGATATTTCAAAGTAGAGAGAGTTCAGAAATAGTAGATAAAATATGCAATAAATTAGAAGAACTAACAGGAGAAAATCACAAAAGCATTAAGTTATGGTTAGCTATTATAGAAAGGCGAGCAAATGAAGTAGAAAACTTGTATAAGGATGGAGTTAATTTAGAGTATTTACCTTTTGCCAAAATCACACCGTTAATACAAACAGTTGTTAATGGTGATATTAATACTTTATCAATATTAATTTCAAGTGGAGCTGATATTAATAAACCTAACAATGATGAAGATCAAGCTAGCCCTTTATATTGCTCTTTGGGCTATTATGGACAACCAATTGATATAAAAATAGTTGAATTTTTACTTAGAAACGGATCTGATGCCAACAAACCAATGTTTGACGAGGACACACCAATGCATATGGCACATTATTATGGGCACAAAGAAGCTATAAAATTGTTATTGCAATATAAAGGCAACATTAATGCCCAAAATACAGAAGGTAAAACACCATTACATTATTTATTAGAAACTAAAAACGTGAATTCAGTTATTAAGTTAGAAATAATAAAAGAGTTTTTGAAGAATTATAATTTGACAGCAAATGATCAAAATCGTAAAACTGTAATTGACTATGCAAACGAACATTTATCAGAAGCATTGTTATTGTTTACTATAAAAGACGTTGATTGCAGTTTATCAGATCGCTAATTTAATTTAGTAGAGTATAATTAGTTACGTTTATATGCTAATACTTTTTGTTTGTTGGTGTCAATGAACTTATTGTAAATTTTAATTTAATTGAAAGTATCAAAGTAACAATAACATCAAACAAGTGTTAATGTTATTGTTGGTCGCGTAACGTGCGTGGTACATTTGGTACATCAAACAAGTATGTGTTGATGTTATTGTTGGTCGCGTAACGTGCGTGGTACATTTGGTACATCAAACAAGTATGTGTTGATGTTATTGTTGGTCGCGTAACGTGCGTGGTACATTTGGTACATCAAACAAGTATGTGTTGATGTTATTGTTGGTCGCGTAACGTGCGTGGTACATTTGGTACATCAAACAAGTATGTGTTGATGTTATTGTTGGTCGCGTAACGTGCGTGGTACATTTGGTACATCAAACAAGTATGTGTTGATGTTATTGTTGGTCGCGTAACGTGCGTGGTACATTTGGTACATCAAACAAGTATGTGTTGATGTTATTGTTGGTCGCGTAACGTGCGTGGTACATTTGGTACATCAAACAAGTGTTGATGTTATTGTTGGTCGCGTAATGTGCGTGGTACAATTGGTACATCAAACAAGTATGTGTTGATGTTATTGTTGGTCGCGTAACGTGCGTGGTACTTTTTTAGAGTCATTTCTTGAGCCTTTAAAATCAAATTGTTTTCCGTAAAGTAATACCTCTTATGTTTAAAATATAGGGTCATGTCTTCCCCTATCGCAACCGTTGTTTTAAAAAAATTAAATAAAATTTTCAAATCTTTTTTTTCTAAATATTCATGTCTATAGACATAAATATTGAAAAACATAGTATAGTATTGTTTTATACAAATCTAACTTTTTTTTAGTAATAATATTTTTTTTAAAAGATTTATTTTACAATTTTGAGATGTTTTTTATCCGCGAATGTTTTATTATTGCTTTCTTAAGAAAATCTTTTACAGTCACAAAAGATTATCTTTTTTTTTTTTTTTTTTTTTTTTGCTAAATGCGTAAAGTATTTGTAAAACCATTTAGGTTAATCTAAATTAACAAGTACAAGTAATTTAGTTCTAGGGAATATTCATTTTATACCTAAAGGGGATATCCTTTTTATACCTAATTTATATCAAATGAATTATAATATTATGATTCAAGATTTGAAAAAGAAAAGAAATATTTAGAAAATGTTATAAAAATTAAATTGATATATTTCAAAGAGCACTGCTATAAACTACGGCCAAAATTTATAAGACGAAAAAAAACGCATAAAAATAAGATATTTAGGAAACAAAGTTCTTTCTAAAATACATTAAGAGAAAGTTTTTGTTTATGATTGTTAAAAATCTTAAAAAACAATCTTTTTTCTATTCAGTAATCATATTAAATTGTGCATTATTTTTAAGATAAAACAAATAAAATTAAAATTAAAATGTACTTTTTTTTTATTCATGGTAGGTAAAGAATCAATAACGGAAGGTAATGCCATATCACGCTAGATAAAGAAACCAGTTCTTACATAAAATAACGTTAAATAAATAATTTTACTCAACTCTGAATAATACAAATTAGATAATAACTGAGTATAATCTATTATCCACAAATCCTAAAATTGAATTTATTACAGTTTGAGAATGATAAAGTTTTAAAGTTAAAAGTTTTATTAAAGTCCCCGTGTTCACAGTATTATTTATAATGTTTTTTTAAAAGTCACACTAAAGAAAGATATGACTACATTTATTTTAAGGACGCAAACGCGCGTAACTTTTTGTTAAAGTTTACATCCGCTGACGTTTATAATTGAGGAGGTGGAGGGGATTCAAAGTTCTGTAATTTTTGTTTAACCAGTTATTCTTTCATTAATTTTTTTTTAATAAAAGTTAAAAAAAGTCCGTTTTTACTAATTTTTGTATTGGTTTTCTTTTTCTGTTTTTTTCTATTTAAAAATATTAGAAAACTTAAAAACTAAAAGTTTCCGTAGCGCATTCTTTGCGGAAAATGAAATAAAAATTTATTAAAATTTCTGCAATTTATTTTGATTTAATTAATTTGAACTATTTGAAATAAAAGTTGAGTTTAAACAAAAAGAAATTAAATTATTATTATTAAGTTATTATTATCTAATGTAAAAATTTATTTTCCTTTTTTACTTTTACTACATAGAAAATACATTTAATTTAATTAATGTTATTAATTTTGCAAACTAGATTAAAGTATAGATTAAATTGAAAATTATTGTAACAAAAAGTAACAATTTTATAAATTAAATATAATAAACGTTTTGGAAATCTCTCAGCAGATGAGACAAAGGCTAGTTGGCAGTGCTAAGTTGACGAATTGCGTTTATCTTCAGAGCCTTTTATCAGAAAGTGACAAAAATTACACAGAAACTTTCTAACTGACCATCTTATCATTCACTATAGTATTGTTAGGATTTGCGTATGCGTATGAGAGGTATTCCCCTCCTCAACTAAATAAAACTACGTTAAGCCCTCCGGCCACCATTCCCTACAGTTATAAAAACTGCTATAACTGCAACAATGGAATTATCATTTTTTAGTTTGCAACGATTCAATCACAATTTAAATGCGCCATAGAAAAACATAGCCATAAAAATATTTAAAATAACATTGCATTAGCTCTTTTTTTTTAAATGTGTTCAGGCAAAAAATGACAGCAATTTTTCACAACAATTTTATAAAAACTATGAAATGGTTATTATGAAATCACTCCAAAATGGCTGTAAAATGATAAAAAACATATTGTGTAAAAAGTATTTTTAATAAAGCATACATATTACTTTTTACAAGGAGTTATAATAACTACCTATTATAGCTTGATAGACAAGGTGGAAGAATAATGAAGCCAAAAACCGTTAAAAATCGTAATACAGTCAGTAGTTTCATTATTCCAACCGCAAGTCAAAATGGAGTCTTCGCGTTGAAAGGAGAAAATATTTAAGTGAATTACTCACTAAAAAAGAGGACTAGAAGTTTTTACAACTGTTCGAAATATCAAGAAGTAATCAAAACAAAAACCACGAACTACGCAAAGTAATTGTTTTATTAATACCTCGATACTAGATAAAATAATCAAAGCTTTAGACTCTCTTATAGATCTCTTCTACTTGTTTGAACTTTATCTATTGCATTACCGTTTGGTTAGCAGTAAAGTTTAATAAGTAAACCATTATAGGTTTTGTAAGTTCTTAAAGAAAGTTTTAATTTGGCAAGAAACTTATTCTTAGTCTTTTCAGAATTTTCTTTTCTTTTAAAGCAATATAACTTGATTTTTTTTTTTTTTTTAAGTGGAATGTGTTTGGATAGGTTAAATATATTATTTATTTAACCTATAATTAGATAACCATATACTTATTTATTTTTGGTTTTTTTATATGTACAATGTTTTAGCTGGCTGAATAAAAAATTATTTAATTCAGATATAAATAAATTAATTTAGTTATGTATGGTATTTATAGTATAACATCAATCAAATTAACAATGGCTTTTAAGCGTAGGCGAATTGGGTTTTTAAATTGGGGACTTTTAAGCGTAGGCGAATTGGGTTTACAATTTATTTTTCCTCCTTTTGCTTTTTCTTCTTCTGACAACTTCTTTATGAATAAATGAGAATCATAACGAGTTTAATTATGAAATAGGACTGGAAAGAATTTTTGAATTTTAAATTGTAAATTACAATCGCTATGTGCAGCGCTTCTATATTTACCAGTAATATGGGAATGATCACGTACTCTATCTTCTTCTAATAATTCTTTACAAATGTGGCATACTTTTGCATTATTAAAATTTTCTTTGTCTTTAGGTGTAAATATCATCTTTTTTGTAAATTTTAAATAAGTGTCATAAATATTCTTTATATCTGCTTCTAACATATTGACAAAAATTTGTGCTACACCATCTACTTCACTACTAGCAGTAAATGTGACTGGTTTACTTTGATATACACTTTCGTCAAAACATTTTTTGATATTGTTTTGTATAAGAGTCATTTGGATTGGGTGTACAAGTATTGATTGGTGTAATAAAACTTTCAAAGTCAGCATAGACTACAAAGGGTACTCTCATATTTTTTTTTAAAATGACCAAATTCTATCATTGTATTTGTCTCTCGAAGTTCAATACGCACTGATTTGTGAGTATTGAACTTCAAGATCACAATAAGATTTATGCTTATATAAAGATTCTTCAGAATTAAATCCTAACAAGCAATTTCTACAAAAGTGCTTTTTACCATCATGTTTAGATATTTGTGATGAAAGTAATCTACTTAAACTTTTTATTAAGCAATAATGATTAGTTTCATCATTAGAAATGAGTAAAAAGTCAATTTGATGTTGTCTGTTTTTATTTTCAGATATGCGTAAAGGGTAAACTGATAAATCTTTATAACCAAAGACATTGACACTAATATCTTAATTATTTTTTTCAAATTGTGTAATTTGATGAAGTGATACTGGGAATTCTATTTTTTCCCAATTTAATTTCTTAGCTTGTTCTTTTAAATCTTTATCTACTCTTTCAGGATGGTTATCTTAAGGATTAAAAAATCTAGCAACGCACCATTTAAAGCATTCGTTGTTTTCATTCTTCATATTAATGATTGCATTTTTTGTTGTCAACTTTTTAGGAATATAGTGGTTGAAAAAGATTTTAAAAGTTTCTATGAAAAAGATGAATATAAATAATATTGTATATAAACTACTTAAAGACAAATCTTACATTCCTCATATAGTGGTTGTTCGCAGCCTTGTTGGAAGCGAAGATGTAATATATATTTTTTCTATTATAATTTATATATATATAAATTATAATATATAGTCTTTAATTCATTTACTTACTTATCTTAAGAATAATGAAATATAAAAAACGTTTAAAGTTGAGAATAATTTTGATCTTTACAGTATGATTCTATCGCCGAGTCTCTTGAATGTGATCAATCATTTCTTGAACTAATGTTGCAAAAAGTAGTATATTTTTTATTATGGTTAAATGTTTATTTTTTTTTTTATAA